AGAAATTACTCTCACCTCCACTAGATAAAAATTTATTTTAATTATTGTGTGACAAGAATCATTTACATGGCTGTGAGTTTTAGTTTTAAGAAACACAGTGAACATCTGTCCCTATAGAGTTATAAAATATCCTAATCAACAATTACAATTAGCTGGAACAAAAGTACACAATCCTTGGAAGATAGATATTTGCCAGTTGAGACTGATTTGTACTGTCTACCCAGCAGGACTCTGAAAGGACAAGCAATTGTCCATTTTATTCTTTCTATGGTTTTGATAAGTTTCTAAACAATTTTGTAGAATAAGCTATTGTAGAATCCCACTTAAAACCTATTGAATGAAATATGTCTTTAGTGACTCTTTTTTGGGTTTATTTCTTTAAAATTTTGTGCTCAAGTATAGCAGTTACTACGTATTTAGTTAATAACTAATTTCAAAATAACAACCTTGGACTATTTTTTTAAATTTTTTATTTTCAAAGGTAAATCATGTAGGTCTCAATTCTCTACAAGCTCAGTGATGAATACATAGCTTGTAGGATAGAGAAAATGGGCAAACTTTTCTGTAAATGTTTACAAAACTTTATTAAATTATAAATTAGAAATAATTTTTACTATAGGAATTTGGGAAGAATAAAAGGCAGTGAAGCAAAAATTAGTTCTCTCTGGTTTCTAGATTATAAACCTTCTCCAGACAGGAACTGTGCCTCATTTATGTTATGTCACCTACATTTTCTAACATACAGTAAGACTTCAGTTGAGGAGAGGAGACAGAGGAAAGGAGTTAGGATGGAGAAAAGCAATGGAAAATTTTAAATATTTTACTTTTAGCTATATATGCTCATTAATCTCAAAGTATGCTTGATAAAAATCTCTGTTGAACATTAATTTGGAAGCTAATTATTATGAAAAAATTCTTGCAAAAACAGAAATTTTGGCCATCAGGAAGTAGATATATAAGCAACAATTAGTGTATGTATCAGTGTGTTTTATTTGCTTTTAGTGTTGTATGATTTTGTTAAAAGACAAAGGAAAATTACTGTTTTATGTTTGCTGACAACTTGTGTAGTTATGTGTATGATAGAACTTGTAACAGGTAGAGTTCCAGGTGAGCAAAAAGAGAAATATGGCTTTTTATTAGTAGTACATGTTTGCTGTATGTGAAGTTTACATTCATTATAGAGAATAGGTACATACATATAACAATTCTTGGTTTTCTGTAATTAAACTTATCCTAATTCATTCTCAGATCTCCTATACAATGGATGGCTAACTTTAATCTTGCTGATTTAGGAAATTCATTCTATTTTAGATCATTATTCAGTTTCTTTAGAAAAAAATTCAATATCCTTTTCTCTTGTTCTTTCCTTTTACTCAGATTTCTTTGTCTTATATATCCAGATAGTAGGGAAGCAAACTTGATGATATCACCACGTTGTTGGACTATACCACAAACTATAGCATAAACTTCCTCTTAATGCTTTGCCACTGACATATTTAAAGTCCAGCTTTAAGAATAAAAAAAATTAGCTCTCAACAAAGTCTAGCTTATGCATTTCATCTATTCTGTGGTCTATAGATCTATAAAATTCTACTTTGGAGGTCAAATGACAATAAAGTCACTGTTTATTCCCATTATATTTTTTGTTTTATTTTCAGCCTTCCCTAAGGCTATAGAATTGATTTTCAATTTTTGTTTTAATTGGGGAAAATAATATTTGATAAAATTATACAATTTTGTATAAAAAACTGAATTTTTAAATCTTATTGTGATATACTTACTGCAGTTATGGAAGACAGAGTTAGCCAGAAAAGTTAACAACAAATATCAGTTCCTTTTTTTGCCCTTTGTAATACTGTTTTCCAACATAATAGAAATCATCTTTTGCATCTCAGGGTGGCAATAAGATGATTGATGGAAATTGCTAGTAATTTAGCAATTCTCTGCTCTTAAAATAATGCACTTCAGCATTTGCACTAACACTGCGATATTCCACCCCTCACCTCAAATCAAATGTTAAGCTGAAGCTCTAAAGGTGTTAAGACAAATCTTCCTTATGTGTCAATTCTTCAAAGCATAATATTCTCAATGTGCTTCCTCTGTAATAATGTATTCACTTTTTAACCACATTTTTAAATGATGCAATTTTTTTTAGTCCCAGTGCATCTAGAGTTGAGAAAAATTAATGAGAGGCAGAACTACTAATGACTTTTGGTGTGTCTAATGACTAAGCCCATTCCATCAGCAAAATCTTAAGGGATACAATTGTAGGGAGTTTTACACAAGGTACTTGGTGCTTTTTTTTTTTTCTCCTAGAGGTTTGCAGGGCTCTATAGCTAGACACAAAAACTCCAACAATTTTTGAAGGTCTTCATCAAAATATGAAAAACAACACAATACTCATTTTTAAAAATTTGTTTAATATGACAGTTGCTCAACATTTTGATTTTCTTTTTCTGGAAGAGTACGCTTAGAATTCCAGGCAAATAGATGTTGCTAACATTCTGTAAAATATTCAGGGTAATAGGAAAATGTCAGTAGAGTGGAAAATGTGCAAGCCTTTCCTAATAGTTTTGTTCTATTTTTAATTGGAGTAATTCCAAGATCATATAGGCATCATCTCTAACATTCTTGTTATAACTGTCTCAGATTCAGTCTGTTATATGCTTCTTGCCATTTATTTCACTATTCATTTTTCATATTGTGTATGTTCATGTAGGACTTTTATTTCTATATCTGACATTTCCTGGATAATTCTTCAGTCTGATTAACACTATGTCTCTGACAGCATTATTTAGTTTCAAAGAATAACCATACAACTTTCTGTGATGCCAAACAAAAAAATTTGAAAATCTGTGTTGTGTTTCATTCTTTGCTCCAAATAATAAAATAAATAGATAAGCATATGTATCATTGCTCTACAGAGGAGGTGACAGCTCAATTCAGGGATAGTGAATATTCTTTGTGTGAACAAAATTCTTCTGCACAAAATTTACTTGGAAAAACGTAATTTGTCACAGCTATGATTTCATCTTTAATTAAACAGATAATAGTTTGTCAGCCAAATAATCTAAGAATGAGCATTGTTTTTTCCTAAATTTAATTTCATTTTTATAAGACTGAGCAAAAATGACACTGAAATAGAAAATTAAGCACTAATAGTGAATAAAGATTAAACACTCATTATATGCCTATATGTTTTGTTTAGAAAGATTTACAGATATACCTGGAAAAAGATAGCTTTTTAATAAGTCATTAAAGTGCACATCTGTGGATTAAAAAATCTTGTTAATTATTGTGCCTTCTGCATTTAAACTTCAATTACATGGGAGATATGATAGTCATGATTCACATGTGTTTTCTGTTGAGAGGTAACCATACCTAAATTTGTTATAGGCCTTAAAATGATACCTTCATAACTGAATGCTACAAATCAGGTTAAAATCCTATTGCAGTTGTAGTAAATACTTTCAGTGTTTAACTTTTAAATGTAAATGTACTTGATATAGGGTAAATTGACTAAATTTGGGGCTTCATAAATATTTTCATCTATGTTAATAACTTGTGGTTTAGGATTTAGAAAAAGTAATTTATTACTTATGTCTTTATAAAAGGGCTTCATTCATTCAAAATTCTTGTTATCCTAAAACTATGTAGTCTGTAATGAATATTAAATACATCAAGTAATAAGATAAAATTTCTGCCAGCAGATAATACAGCGTACTAGAAAGATAATCTTATATATACATCATTAAAACACAGGAAGAGGTCCTAATGGAAGCATATCAGCCTCTTCATGGGAACATCAAACAATGTGGAGCCAGGTGTTTCTTGTAAGGAATGAGTCAGTATAGATTTCCTAAGAAAGAAACATTTTGAATAGTATATTGAAAAAAACAGTAAGAGTTGAACAAGCAGACCAAATTGATAGGCAGTCTGTATCAAGGTTCCAGTGTGCCCATAGGACAGAAGCATGGAAGAAAAATGGAGGATTTTGAGAATCATAAAATACATGTTAAGGAAGTATAAGGGGCCTGCAGAAGAATGATAGAAGTCACCTAAAAAGGTCATCAGGGATTTTATTCTGTGGGAGTTTAATTTTAATCTGTAAACATTAAGGGAAAATTGTGAAGTAGGAAATTGTATTATGAATTATTGGGCTCTGTAGATTACCATTAAATATTAAACACATATACACAAGCAAATTGAGAGAGAATCAAAAAGAGAAAGAGATAAGAACAGCAGAGGGAGATAATGACATGTTCTGGAATACTGAGACATTTTTGTTGTAATTATTTTTTCTATGTGCTTTTAAATAATAGAATCTTTAAAGATTTCAGGTGAAAATTCATGAGTAAAAGCAAGAAGCCAAAACACTGATTCATTTAGTAGTTTTTTAATTTATTAAAAATACCTTTGCCCATGTTTGCTCATATTGCACATATATGCTCATCTCTCAATAGTTTCTGAGGGAGTATCACTCATTACATAGGAAAAGAAAATATTGTACTACTATAATAAGTATCCTGTCTTCATGACAAAACATCCCAAGAGAAGAGAGGAGATTTTGAAACACTTTTCAGAGTAGGCATCTTCCTCTAGGATTCATTAGCTTTTATGTATTCTTTTAAAAGTGTGTATGTGTGTATGAGAACATTTTCATCTTTGTTATTTTATTTTTATTTTAATCAAAAAACTGTCCTTAGCGTCCACCTATATATCACTCAGATCAGAAATATAATTTAATGGGATTCAAATCTAAAATAATATGTAATCAATCAAATTATTAAATACAAAAGTTTGGTATTTCATATATTGTGCTATTTAAGAATTAAAGGATATAAGCAAACTATCTCTACTATTTATAATTAGTTCTCAATGCTTTCAGTGTATGTATCTGAAATCAGAAGTTAACATAATTTTATGTATATGTGACATTATATACTAGATTTATGTGATCTAACATTTTTGAACAACTAATTTGATCTGCTTATTTACAGAAAGCCATATCCTGGAAGATGTCAACAAGTGCATCATAGCTTTGAGAGACCAGGATGCTGAGAATTTAGACCGTTCTGCAGGTGCTATCAGAGGGCGGGCAGCAAGAGTTGCTCACATTGTCACAGGTGAAATGGACAGTTACGAGCCAGGGGCTTACATTGAAGGTGTAATGAGAAATGTTAACTTCCTTACAAGTACTGGTAAGTGTCTCAGTACCCAGTGACAGCTGCTCTGTTTGAAATTTGATTCTGCATAGTGACTAAATATTCATACATATGGAAAGATAATTTCAACCTTGTACTATCTGAGTGGTACTTATGTTCTTTGGTTAATGTGATTTGAAATTTATCCCAGTGAAATAAATATATTAATTGGGGAAACAGTATTTTATAAATATATGCCTTATATAAACTACACACAGACAATAGTGACTTATGAATGTTCATTAATGCCAAAGCTATTATGAAGTGCAATTAGGCTGGTATGGTATTAAGTAAGTAATAATAGAGGCCCAGGGATTTAGCTCAGTGGCACCCCGCCTGCCTCGCAAATGCAAGGTTGTGAGTTTGATTCCTGGTACCAGAAAAAAAAAAAAGAAAAAGAAAAAGAAAAGTATGTAAATAGTCGCCAGATCCTCTTTTAGCTGTATTGGTACACTCAGGGTTTTTCATTACATTGCTGAAACACAGCAAGTTAGTCATGTTTCCAGAGAAATGCTCTCTATCTTTATCTGTAGTTGTTTGCAGAACATTTTGTTCTTGCACATAATCGTCTTTGATTGGCTAGGAAATACATAACTAGAATTTTGTTTTGGTTGCAGCACCCTAGTCACTATTTTCTAAAATCAGTCAGTAAATGCTTTGAATCACTCAGTGAAGTGGCATTCTTTTTAATATTATTGTTAACATTTCTCTAAGAAACTTACAGAAATGTCAGGATTCATGTGGATTCATAAACAATGAAGGCAGTTAACAATTTTTACAATTAATCATGACAGAATTCTTTCCTATGAAAATTCTTATAAATTTGTGAAATCCTCATGTATGTATTATTCCCCTTAATACTAAAGCAATGATATAGATGTGATTCCTTTGTTGTTTGAAATTCCATATTTTAATCCCCCGTCCTAGAGGACCATTCTGGGTATTATACGTAAGGCATTTTAAATTTGGAGGATATGCACTTTGTTTAGTGAAAGGAGTAGAAAAGACAAGGATGGGTTAGTTTTAAAATTCTTATTTCCTTTTTTTTTTTTATTTTGGTGAAGCTGTCCTGTGAGATGAATTAAAAGAAACCTATCAGCAGTTAAATAACTTTCACTACAGACTAGTTCTGAAGATCTCTGACACAAGTAAACAGCAAGATTTGCAGAGAATTGACTAGTTTTTAGTTTTCCTAGTGTGTTAGTACAGAAAATATTGATGAATCTTGGTGCAATGTTTTCTCGTTATTGTAACACACTTCAAAATATTAAAATGCTTAAAATGTGCTAAGAAACAAAGGAGGCAGTACATCTGCAACACTTGGTATTAAACTAATATTTCTATCCTCAGTCCTCAAATTTACTGGTGTCACAAACGGGGCACATAGTCTTTGCTTTTTCAGTTAGGTGTGTCAATATAATGTACTTACTTGCTGAAGAATTTGATTGTGCTATGGTCATTCAGTGTCTCTTCCCTCTGTTAGATTTAAGTGGTCCTACCTTGTTGGCAAAAATCAAGAACAAATTTATCTGTGTCTCTAATTTCTATCTTTAGAAAGAAATTTAAGTGAAGGGAAAAAATGCATCAAGGGTTTTTAGACAAATGAAGATGTCTTGCAGGGAATAGTAAATTCTACCAGGGCCATGATATCTTATCTTTCCATGTCACTTTCATAGCATATTACTAAAGTCTTGTAAGCAGGCTCTTTATTATCATAATGTAAATTTAGTTTAATACATCATGAGAGTTTTTTAAATTTTTTTTTGTTAAATTCTTTTACTGGTACATTTTAGGTATACAACACAATTACATTTCTCATTGGGAATTGTACCTTTACATAATGCATCTTGGTCCTTAC